CCCGTCTGTGAGAGGGGAGCGGTGACGCAGTGGGCTAGCGCGCCGTTCACAACAAACCCGGCTACCTGAGTTCAATTCCCAGCCGTGGCTAACGTCAGTGGCAAATGATATCTGAACCATTCCTGGGCCACCTCTAGGTTGACTCAACCATAAAAGTGTACGTGGTGTGTTACATAATCATCAGCGCAGGGGAGACGAAGATGGGTAGGTTATTAATACTGTTGATGAAGCGGTGGTGCAGTGGTTTATGCACTGCGCAATGAGCTCAGCAACCTCAGTTTGATTTCTGGCCACAGATAATGAAAGTGTGGAGTGATATCTGAACCGGCCCTGAGTCTTCCCCCCTCCACCAACCCACAATGATCAATGTGGTGAAGTATGGTCATGACTGGCATGACATGGGGAGGCCTTAATCCAGCAGTGGTTTGACAGAGGTTTTATAAGTAGTTAAAGTGTTCAATAAATTGTGTTCAGCATAAACTGGACAGCAGCAGGCAACGCAAGGCTGCTGTTCTTAGACACATGGTAAAGTGGCTTCACCCGCAAAGTCAAGATAAAAGCCTTCAAGAACCCTGCACAATCCCCGACAATAAGAAACAGTGACAACAACAGATTCCGCTTGATCTCGCAGCTCTGGCCACGGCTGTCTTATTTTGCGCTAATCTGTAAGCATCTAAGGATGCGCCCATTCGCCAATAACAATCGGTTCTTACTCTCGGAGAGCATGCGTGATATTGTGAGCATAAAACAAACGATTATCCTCAATGTATGCAAATTATAGCCACTGCAAATGATACGATCACGTTACATGTAAACTTACGGGATAAACTAATTTAACCGTAAACAATACAAACGGGATGGACTCGAAATGAACATATATGCAGTACTGAATTGTAACGATGTGTTGAGATCTCTCGGGTGAGGGAAGTAGTGAGGCGTTATTTGCCTTCCAAAAACGAGTCGAATTTTTTTTTTCTTTCACGAGGAACAACTTCTGTTGGGACGCGTGCACGCGTGCGGATGTCACACCAGCGGAGGCATCGCGCGTCTCGATTTCATTTTAGCCCGCGAAAAAAACGAACGGTCCTGCGGGCGGGCGTTATATCATTCCTCCCCCACCCACCCCCCCCCCCCGTGTGTGTTTTGGTCGTTGCTGTTGTTGTTTGTTGTTGTTTTTACACGGGCCCGTGGATCCCGCAGCGGTGCAACGTCGCCGGCTCCGACTCACGCATTGAGTTGCATCGCATTGACTGCGGGCAAAACATATCAGTCAAAATAATTGGATTTGCGCCCAGATACACTCGGACATCGATTCAGGTGTCTATCAATACGATGCCGCAGGAAATTAAGGCGATGTATCAAATGTGGCGAAATTGCATCGGCGCCGGCTGTTGGTGTGTGGGGCTGGTGGTGCTGGTGGCGGTGGTGGTGATGATGGTGGTGGTGGCACTTGCTACATTTGCTGTTGTGGGTGGACACATAGGTGATGAGCTGGCGGGGTGGGGGCCGTACGTTTGTAATGTGGCGCTTGGGAGGCAAGAGTTGGTGGATCGTGTAAATTGGTGACCTAAATCCACTTTGGCCGTGAGGTGGCTAGGAGATGGCGGTACGGCAAGTTGGTTTATGAAACCCATAAGTTTGCTCTTTTGAGTGTTCATCCCCCTGTATGAATAGTGTGTGTTTCCCCGGGTACTCCGGTTGCCTGCTACATGCAAATGAATTCTTGAAAAGGAATCGGACGAGCAACCCAATACAGGACCCTCCTTAAAATGGTCTTGAGATTCCGCGAGGCTCTACAGGATAAATGAATTATTATATCTCAACAGAAGTGATGTGCATTTCCTGTCCAAAGTGATACATGAGCTCAGAATGGTAACTCCGTGTGCACATAATTTGTAATACGAGAGCAGGAATTGAAAAATGCGCTTCATTTAGCCAGGAAAGCCGAATTTGAGTCTCAAGGCTCTACTTCATGAGGGCCCTTTATTGTTACCTTTGACCGATTTCAATGTAGGAGGACTCCAGAGTACCCAGAGAAAACACACCACGTGTACAAGCGGGGAGTGGGCCCACAAACTCACTTGCTGTACCGCCTGTTTCATGGCCAACTCACTGCCCAGTGGGTTTGGGAATCTAGCAAATCCCGGTGCGATCTACTAACCCTCGCCGACAAAGCGCTGAATCATCGGCGTGCACCACCACGTCAAAGCCAAGTATGTGTTATGCAGCTAATACGATTGGCTACGTACGGTGCGAAAGAAGTTCAACATACATAACACCCCTTTTCCACTGACACATCCGAGCCGAGCCATCATAGAGCCCTCAAGGCACGGGTGGTTTTCCACTGGCCATAGGGTGGTGACGTGGCCTAGTGGTAATGCGTTCGCCAATCATTGTAGAGGTTCACGGTTCGATTCCGGCAGACCGCTCTGGTTAATACTGTGGGTGTACTAACCATAATAATGGCTTTGAAATACTCCAGTGACGTTATTTGAAAAGTGTTGGCCATTGTGTGCTGGTGTCAAATTGCCAATTTCGTAATATAACCCGCAAATTACTCGATTTGGATTACACACCGCCGAACATCGTCCCTGACTGGCAGACTAATGCTCCCGTTGCAGGCTGGCGACGAGTCACTTTGTGCTGCATAGGGACAGCTGCCACTGGTGGTACCCTTGAAATGTTTGAGATTGGATGTTGTGGAGGGATTTAAGTGGCATATATATGGACACATTAATCTTATTTTTCCTGCAGCAACAAACAACACCTATTCCATGTATGGTGGTCACCCAGTCGTCTTATTTATTTTATTTACCAGGTAAAGCCCACTGAGCTATTAGTTCTTCGTGAAAGGCGACCTGGTCACACATGATAGCTCATCGCAGTGGCTGACATCATCACATGTGGGAATTTATAGTTGCAGCCAATTAATCTAAACGCGTGTTTCTAAATGTGGAGGGGGGGGCAAAACCTGAGGAGCTGGAGAAAAATCCACGTGACCACCACGGGGAGAGAGAGAGAGTCCACGTGGACTCCAAAATATACCGGCGTCAGGGTCGGGATTGAACCCACACTCCGCTACGTACCAGGCAAGGGATTATAACATCTGACCACTGTGGCGCAATTAGCATTATCCAGGCTGAATGCTTAGCTGCCGAGATGTGATGAGAAAGGGGCGCATCTTGGGTGATTTGGACACAGGCATGTTTGCCACGTACTGCACATTACTTACTCTAACTCCCTGTAAGAAAAATATACACACTTTTAATATCGTGTAAATACTTCATAAAACTTATGTTACACACGTGCAATGATTCACTGTCCTGCAATCATTCTTTCACTCTCTCTCCCGTCTTGCCCCTTAATGGATGCTTCTGAATCCGTGAACTTCTGGCAGCAGCAGCAGTAGTGTTGGCGATCGTCACTATCAGCATCTCATCTGCTGCTGATGTTTCCATGTCATACCTCTCCGATATAGTGCCTCCTCCTCCTCCTCCACTCCATCAGTCAATCTTTGTATTGGACGTTCTATGCCATTGCTGCATTCCTGTTTGGTGCCAATCTTTCAACATGGCCGCACCATGGCAGCCCACGTTCCTCAATTCTCTACACTCGTCGTCCCATTTTAAAGTTCCTTTTTACGTCTTAATTTCTTATTCCAGAGATATGCTCCACCACTCCTGACACGATCATCTGGCTCAATCACCTCAACGTAAAATTATAGTTCTACATCAACGTCAGCCATACGAAGAAGACACAAAATAATTCCTTATTCTGTCTTAACCGTTTTTCTATTTAATTGTTGTTACGCTTGCTTAGCCAGGAAGGCCTCACCGAGTCTCACGACTCAGGAGCGTCGTGCCAAATTTTCACAGCAGTGGTGGCGATGCTGCTATCTGTAATCCTCATTTTGCATGTAACTTGCAGGTGATTTTTCAGCATTGGGATGTTTTCTCAATACCAGTTACAGTGCACGTTTTTAGCTTCTGAGCTGACCTAAAACACGTTACTCTGAATATGATTTTTCATTTCGGTCAAGATAAAACTTTTTTATCCCCTTTCCCCCCCATGCCTCCCACCACCCCCCCCCACCCCCTCGTATTTTAGCCGAATCAATGCTTGGAAGGCTCGGCGCTCGCGGATCGATGTCTGGAGTTCTGCGCGGCCGTGATGGATGGGACGTGGGGGGGGGGGCACGATTTACGCATTAACAAAACCGGAGCGGAAAGGATACAAAGTAATGAATTAATTAAACTCGAAAAGCCAAACCTTAAAAAAAAGCAAGCAAGCAAAGCCTCGCCGCGGTCACGGAGGACGCAGCGGGTCACCGAGCGCGGAACATTGATTGGGCAGGTGGTAATGAGCTGTGTCGTGTCGCCTCCGAGCTGATGCCCGGGAGACGGGTTTGCGCCCGCTCGTCTTTCCTTTGCATTAGGCGGCGCGTCATTCGTTCGCCGGCTCGCCAGGGCGCGGCGTCGTTCACGATTAACGCGCCGCGTCGCGGTCGTGCGTGGATCACGCGTTGTTCACGCACGGGAAATAGCGAATACTGTGGTCTCGTTTATTCATTTATTTACATTGTGGGGCATGGCATTCATTCGCTCTGGGGCGCGTCGTGCATTGTGTCCATGGTTGACCGGTTGCCTCTGTGGCTGACTAGGTATGCCCTTGGTTGAATGATTTTCTGTCTGGCTGACTAGTTGTGTATATGGTTGAATGGTTGCCTGTCTGGTCATCAGATGGCTTGTTTGGCTGACTTTTCGCCTATCTGGTCGATTAGCTGTTTGTCGAGTCTTAGTGAAATGGTTGCCTGTCTGGCTGACTAGTCGTGTCTGGCCATCAGGTTGCTTGTTCGGTCGACTTTTGCCAATCCGGTCGATTGGTTACCGACCGGGCTGACTAGTCACGTCCATGGTTGAATATTTGCCTGCCCGGCCACCCGGGCGTGCGGTCTTTGCACTGACTGCGTGCTCCATCGCCTTGTTTCCCGCACACAACAGACGCGCTGGGGCCCGAGCTGTTCGGAGAGGTGTGCGCGTTGCTGGAGTCCGGCGCGGGCGAGTCGTGCGTGCGGGAACGCTACCGGAGCACGCTTGCCGAAGATCACCTCTCCGCCTGCCTGATGCTCCACGGCGCCACGAGCGGAGTCACCTGCGTGCGGTGAATTCTCGTTGAGCAGAAAGAGGGCACCAGGTGGGGCATGTGTTGCCCTTGGTTGTTTTCTTTTCTTTCATGACTGAACACAAAGAACAGGAGTCACAGAGGGGAATGCATGCCGCGTGCGCACAACATACTCGGCCCAGCCGTGACCTCGTGAGTAAATCTCCCCCCAAATAGGGGCCGATTTAAAGTTACTTCACCCTACAACGGTAAGGATAAGATTCTGGACCAGTGGATTAACCAGGGAGGGGGGGGGGAGGGAGGGAAGTGGGGGGAGGAGGGGGAGAGGCATGTTGCCTTTCGTAGTGGTGTAGTAGCTATTAAGGGTGCAGGCGTTGCAATTGCACCGGGCTCTACATGCCAAAAGGGGCCCAGGTGGTGAGCTAATATGAGGAGGGAAATTGGACAAAGGGCCCCAATATCATTCCTCGTACCAGTGGCACATGCCAATCACGCTACGCCAGTGAACCTCCCCACTTATGAACAGCAGCCCTGTGTGCACCCTCCCCCACCCCTCACCCATTCCTATTCAAAGGCAGATCCTCATGGTGGCTACGTAGGAGTTTCTGGTTTTAGAAATCATCGTGCCACCACATCTCGCCGTCACTTCTTTGCAATAATACTGTAATGTAACAATAATAATTCTGACCGAGTCTAAAGGCTTATTTTTGCATGAGCAACCTGCATCGGAATGTTTGACCAAATGCCTTTAAAAGGAGTGTTTTGTCTGTTGGAGGAAACTTGAAGCGCTCGGAGAAAACCCACCGCACGTACAAGAGGGTAGAACCCAAAGATGTGCACAAATGTATACGCAGAGCCTCTTGCTGTACTGTCGTCTACCAGCCAGATTACAGCCCAGCGGGTTTAGGAGTTGTATACAACCTTTCCTCCAAAATTGCTGGACTACAAGTTTTGCACTTTTCAGCTTTTCCTGCCTTCAGATACTGAAGCATCTGGTCTCACAGTTGACATCTGGTCTCCGAGGTCTGCTCTGATGTCTCACAATTCTTATGCAGTTCCGGGGGTGTGGCTTTGGGTGCCCTCCTATCCTAGGTGACTTTCTGTTCCCCTCTTGACTGTCTTGCACACACATAGACAACGATTCCCCATGTAGCCTTACAGATTGATGGGGCAAGGGCTGTTAGTCGGCAGCTATTCATCGTCACAATTGAGCACTGTGGCCATCACCACGCTTGGCCATCTTTGTCTCACCATTGCGAGTGCTTTTATTGACTCCACCCAGAACTCATTTAAAGCTGATTCGACCTATGGGAAGCCCAGGGCAACTTCTGGTACCACTTGCCACTGATATTGCCTGTGGCTAGGAATTGTACTCAAGTCACCAGGATCACAGTGCGGACCATTGTGCCACTGCTACCCTCGATACCTGAGCTATGTGGTGATACACAGCTGCGTGTATGTGTGCGTGCGTGCATGGAAGAGCAGTTTAACAGGAGATGCAGGAAGGTACCATCAGACTCGGGGAGTCTGTTTGAAAGAATCCTTCCATGGGTTAAAGTGGCCATCCGAGACTTAATGCTGACTGCCTCATTCACGGCACGTTTATGCAGATTTTTGGTGAGTTGTAATTGTTACGTTTCACCGCCACAATCAGCCCTGTTTAATCCGCCGCTGGATGAAGGCCTCCCCAAAGATGTCGGCCAACCCGCTTGGTCTCGTGATGCAAAACAATTCGTCTGTAACAACAGGACACGAGGGTGATCTCATCGCTCCATCTCCATGGTGAGACGTCCTCTCGGGGGCATGCTCCACCTCCTTTGGCTGTGACTCCGTCGTTAGTCTCAGCCGCCGGCCATCGTCGCTGCCCTAGCACACTCACATTTCTAAGTATGTACCGTTTACATAGGTTTAAAAAGGTCAAAGCGCCCTTTTTGTTCAAAGTGAGCGTTGGGTGGCATTCATCGCTGTTGGCATTCTGGGGCCGCTTCCACATTACTATGGCATGGGCAAGTATGGTCCACAAGGCAGCCACAGTTGACCCGGCGCAAAGCGGTGCAGTCTAACTTGCTGGGACTCAGGTGACCATTTCCATTGTTAGCGAGGATGATGATGATGATGATGACGACAGTTGTTTGACCCTGATGAAGATTTGAATTTACATCCTCACGATTAGGAGCCTTTGACGTTCCACCAAACCAAGGCATAGGCTGCCGGCTTCGCATGAACACGACGAAGGTGTTGGGCAATCTGAGGTTGGGGAAAAAGTGAAACTAACCGCGTTTTAAATGTACTAAGCGACTAATGTCAAAGCACTTGCAAAATAAACTACTGTATTTGTAATGGTAATTTTAAAAAGCTGTTCGTCTGTGCCTTCTTATTCTGAATAATAATACAAGTGAGTAATTTGATTATGACACTGACACACACACTGGCTAATCTAGCGTGCTGATTCTCAACGTGTATTGAAAACAATCCACATTACAACAGTAACAAGTCTCTCCTAAGACCAAGAACTTTCAATTGTATGGGGATTCCCATGAGACTTATGATGGTGCTGGTGCTCTTGATGATTATGGGACTACACTCCAACATACACAAACACATAACAACAACCTACTTGCTATACATCCCTGGATAGGGACAGGGTGCCTCGTTGTGCTACACTTGTTAGCCTGGTGTGATGTGTCGCTTAGTGTTCGAGGTCGAGTTGGGGTAGTATGAGGATTAGAGATAGGAAAAGAGCTTTATAGTTAATCGGATTCCTCCAGTATGAATAAAGACTGATTCTGATAGGGGTGGGGTGAGTGCTATTGTTAATATTGAGGGTAGTTTTAGTTGCAGGGGAAGTGTGAGGAAGTGTAAAGGATAGTGTTAGTATAAAGGGTGATAGTGTTCTTGGCAGTGTTAAGCGTAATGTTAGGAGTGTTCATGTATTTTTTTAGTGTTCAGGATAATGTCGGTGCTATTGATAGGAGCAGTATTAGCGGAGGGGGAGATATTGTTTTTTTTTATTTTCAGGGAAGTGGTGGTGTCGATGGGAGCAGTCGGGTGCATGGTCTGTGTCCGTGTTGGGGTTAGTGCTACGGAACGCGGCTTGTCCGCGCGGGGTGATTGCAATTAATCGATTAATGTCCTTCCGCACGGCGTCCTCCGCTTCAGAATCGCTCACCTCCCTCGGCATTCACCCGGACATCCAATTAGTCTCCTAGCAACCGTGGCCACCGGGCGGACATGCAGAGCGAGCGCGCAATGAAGTGTTTGTGCACGTGGGTGTGTGTGTGTACGCAATGAAGTGTTTGTGCACGTGGGTGTGTGTACGCAATGAGGTGTGTGTGTGCACGTGGGTGTGTGTGTGTACGCAATGAGGTGTGTGTGTGCACGTGGGTGTGTGTGTGTGTGTACGCAATGAGGTGTGTGTGTGCACGTGGGTGTGTGTGTGTGTACGCAATTAAGTGTGTGTGTGCACGTGGGTGTGTGTGTACGCAATGAGGTGTGTGTGCACGTGGGTGTGTGTGTGTGTACGCAATGAGGTGTGTGTGTGCACGTGGGTGTGTGTGTGTGTACGCAATGAGGTGTGTGTGTGCACGTGGGTGTGTGTGTGTACGCAATGAGGTGTGTGTGTGCACGTGGGTGTGTGTGTGTCTTTGTTATTTCTCTGTGTGTGTGTGTCTTTCTGGGATGTTTGGCCAATTCCATTAATGACGGGGTTTTTGTTTGTTGTTTCGTACACGTGGAAAGAAGCCGCAGTGCCCAGAGAAAACCCGCATTGCATACAAGGGAGGGTGGAGGTCACACTCAGAGCTACACACAGATAGATTTAAGAATCAATTTCTGGAAGGTGGCTCAAAAGCCATAGTACTGAGGTCCTGAGCTTGAGTTGCGGGCAGCTATCCTCGCTTATACGGGGTTCTCCAGGGCAGGAAGTTGATCGTCTCAGCTTGGTCACCAGTGACTGCTTCACAAAGCAATTAAGTTATAGACTTTGCACTTAATCTGGCAATTCCAAGCTCTGAGACACATAAAATACAGCAACTCTGACTGTCATGCAACAAACACCGATCCCAGCAAATTGTGTGGGAAAGTGCTACCCCCCCCCCCCCCCACTGTGTAAAATAATAAATAGGCCACTGCCAGGATTTTTCAGAATTCCTGTGAAAAGTATATTTTGTTAGGGATTCCATGGCACGTATGTTCCACAGCCCTGCAAGGTTTATTAAATGGATTTTTCGTAATATTTTCGTGGGGATATTTTTTTATGGAGAAATGTTTTTTCATAATAAATTATATTGCTGCAGTGCCACTTTCTTGAATGGGTGCTTGCTAGCCAGGAACACTTGACCCGAAAATTTCCGCGAGCCTCGAATGGTGGAGGGTGCGTAACTGTGTAATGTGCGCCGCTCATTCTCGCCTATAAATCACCGCGGGCCCTGTGCAATTACCCTGCACTGCCGTGAACTTGTATTTCACTCGCTGACATTGTTTAATAGTTACCCAACAGTCGCGCGGCCCCAGCCACCACCAGCACCCACCCTTAATCACCACTCGCCCCCCCCTGCGCCCCCCCCCCCTTTTACTTTGTCAGCAGTGGCGTGGCTATTGAGTAGTGTAGGGGGTGCAACTGCACCAAGGCCCATTCCCCTCCAGCTCCATATTATGAGCTTTGGTAGGGCCTCCAGTTACATCCCGTGCACCAGAGTACATTCCAACCATGCTATGCAACCAGGGCCGTATTAAGAGTTTGAGGGTGCCCAAGGCGAATAAGAGGGAAGGGTCGAAGTATGAATTACATAATTGCAAAAAAATATGTATATGAAGTCATCAAACTTTTTTTTGTTTACCCGTGTAAAATTAACGAATGTGTTCGACTCGACGTAAATGCATTGCGCATAAATCGCTCGCGACACTCATTCCTAATGAACGAACCAACCATTCCTCGCTTCGAGGTGCGGCAAAGTGAGGGATGCGTGTTTCATCGTAATTCAAAGGCCAAACATTTTCTAGAGACGCTCTACCGGCGCTCGGCTGTAACTTCAATGTGGAATGGAGAGCCTAAAGGAGGGCCTGCAAAATATGAGGAGTCTCGGGGTTAATCCGTCCCTGTAAGCCACTTCACGAGGGACTCCACACCCCTCTCTGTCTCTCCACGTCTGTCTTCACTGTCGTTCCGTCTGTTTCTCTGCCTCTGTCTTACCCTCTTCCTCTGCACGTCTCTCTCCTTGTCTCTTTTGCATTGTTCGAGGCTTCTATGTCTGTCTGTCTTTCTTTTTGTCTCTGTGTCTATCTGTTTATTTGGTTGTCTACATATCCCTCTGCATAGCTTTCTTTGTGTCTTTGTTTCTCTATGCCCGTGTCTGAATGCTTTTGTATCTGTGTATCTCTAGGCCTGTCTCCGATGCCTTCATATCTCACTCGCTGAGCTCCATCCATCTCTGATTCTCTTTCTCTCCGTGGTTATATGTATGTCTCAGCCTCTGGATATCTCCATGTGTTTCCGTGCGTTCGTCCCCGTGTCTGACTCCGTATCTGTTTCCTCTGTTTGCTCGTCCGTCTGTGCCTGTCTCTCTTCATCTCTCCATCCTAGGGTTCCTTTCCCACTGTTTTGTACAGATCCCCACTTCTCCGCTCACCCCCCACCCAACACCACCACCCACCACAGAATTATATGTCCTGAGAAAATTGGCTTCGTGACTGCGAATATATGGATGGGAAATTGTGAGCACGCGCGATCGATCTACGCGGGGCAGCGAACCCATGCCCGTTGTGTTTTACCCACACAACTTTTATGAAAAATGTGTCCCTCTGTGTTGAACAAAAATAAGTCGAAAAATTACGATTAAATCTTGATGGGTCCCAACAATACAATAATGTGTCGTGGTGGTGGTGGTGAAGCACTGGGCTAGCGCATGGCGCTCCGAGCCTGCCACGGCTAATATATATATGAACCGGTCTTGGGCACGCGCGTATCTTGAACTTCTTTCGCACCGTACGTAGCCAACCGTGCTAATCGGTTGCCTACCGATTAGCACGGTTGACTCCATATTAGCAAGGAGGTGGGCCTCCCCTATGTCGACTCAGCCTTAAAATTAGTACCTGTTGAAATGTGCAAACATCAGCACTGGGGGAGACAAAGGTGGCTGGGTATGGCGCTGGCCTTTGTGTGCCGTGCCAGCCTTAATAGGTCTTTGCTAACAGCACTTGCCCCAACAGCAGGCGATATGGGGGATCGTTGCCTTTGCTGTTGGTTAGTCATGGGGCGTACCGATGCGTCGATTAATCATTTTACATCGATTGTCAACTTCAAAATATATGCACAGAATCACGTACGTAAGGATTGATTGGTTTCCATTCCTATATTCAGGTACATTCGATGTAAAATTGAATATTATTGCGATCAATAATCGAGACAATTCAATGATTCGGAATTGAGATGATAATTATTACATACTCATGTTTGTTGTACGACCAGTGTTTTCTGATATAATCTGGTATTGAATGGGCTCTCCCCTATGTTGACTCAGCCTAAAGGTCTCATGAATTGTAGTGAAGGCACGTCAGGTCAAAGAGGTCTTCTGGACCAATGCAGTTCATGCGCCTATACCTCGCCATCACTTCCCTCCCTCCCTCTGATAGATCTTGTCGTTGTTGCGAAGTCAACATCTGACCTCCAAGAATCGCTCTCACAGTCTCATCATCACAACCATGTGGCTTTGAGTCTGTCCCTTGTTCCACGGTTCATATGTCCTGCAAGAGCACCTCTTGCAGTGTCATCTGGCTTCCCCTTGATTACTGACCTCTGGGTGTCACTCCAATGCCCGTCTTGATCCCCAGTCCTCCTCCACCATGCAGACGGGACCCACCCACATCACAACCTCATCTCCCGCCCGGACCACAGCTACAATTCTCTCTTGCTGTGCACTATTACAAGCTTCTACGGTACTTACGTGCAAGCGTCAAGGCTCTGAGATCCTCCTTTCCCCTCCCTCCCATTGCCTCTATCCCACTCATCGGTACAACGTAGTTAAAACAACACGGATGTATGTATGCACGTGTATGTTGAACATCTTTCGCAACGTACGTAGCCAACCATGCTAATCGGAGGCGCTTAATTGTAAGCGATTACTAAAAACAAATAAATAATTCAACACGATTGACTGTACAGCCGACAGCAATTTATCTTATCGAGACAAGAGGTTTCTCAACCCATGGGTTAATTAATGGATGTTTACAAAGGATATTTATCAAGGATATTTATACATGTAAAGTCATGCTCAGGTCAACATGTCTCCATGCTCACAATAAGCATTGAGGTAGCACTCGTCTCTGGAAATTCGAATGATGTGGGGCCAGTCTGTGTA